GCTGCCAGAGGGATGTCTGACTGCCAGCTTAGGCCCAATCCCCCAGGGAGTGGGCCTAAGCCAGCAGGTGGTCATCCCCCGAGGGGTCCCAGACTGCAAGAGGACACAGGCCGGGCTGAGGGACCCCTCTGAGTGCACAAATTTTTGTGCACCAGGCCTCTAGTGTTTTAATAATTTAAAAAAACACTGCAAAAAAAGGCACATTTCAAACAAATATATATGGTGAAAATTTGCTTTTCATTTTCAGGTTTTATGAATTATATCTATGATTCTGTTGAATTTCATAATCACATGAATAATATCAGGATATTTTGTTTCATTTAAATTAGCTATGGCTAAAAAGACAGTAATATAAAAATATTAAATTTTCTCAAATATTATATGTAGGTTATTGAAATCCTAATGAAAACTTAGAATATAGTTATTTTTTGAAACTTGGCAAGTGAGTTTTGTGGGGTTTTTTTAAAAAAAACTTAGTTGAGAAGATTTTGAAATAGCAAAACAAAATTGGACTCTTTTGAAATTGAAAAATATAAACTATAATACAGCAAAAATTAACAGAGTAATGGGAAATATTAGGTAATCTTGGATAGATCATATGTAAAACACTAAATGTATAAAAAGATATTAAATCAATTGAGAAAAGTTGGATTATTCAACAAGTGACACTAGGAACATTAGCTAAGTATGTTCAAGAAAATTTCAAATCAGATCTTCATTTTATAACAAATTTCCATTAGATTAAAAGTTTTGATGTAAAAAAAGAATCATAAACAGATTTTTTAAGCTTATAAACATTGGGAGAAATGTACAAAAGATAACATTTGATTAAAAAAATAATTACCTCTATAGATCTAAAGTTTTCACATAAAGTTTGCTTCCATCCATATATATTCATATTAGAATGTTCATGATTAATGTTAAAAAGCAGGATACAAATATATATACATAAAATGGTACAATCCCAATTTTACCCCAAAAAATGCACATATAGAATGTGGTTTATAAGGTGATTTCTATCTTCAACAAACTTTTATATTTAAATATCTATCAATTTACACTGTTTAAAGAAGATCCTAAAGTTAAACATGAGATAAACACACAAAACACATTGAGAAAGTAAAATATCTCCTGAAAAGTTTACTCCAATTAAAGGGCTCAAAAGTCCAAAACTTAATACTTACAGCATCACTCTCATCACTCTGGGTTTCTGAGTTTGGATCACTATCTACATCATCTTTTTCCAAAGAAGAAATGCTGATTTTGTCCAATTCAGCTTCTATTTCTTCGTTGAGCTTTGCATCATCATCATCTTCCATCATCCTTCACAATAAATCACAGAACTAATTAAAGAAAATTAAAGAGGCTAATATGCTAATAAAAATTATGGGTTCTTTAATATGTCATAATAATCCAACATGGTTCTATATACACATTTTAGTTTAACAAATATTTATCACATCTTATCATATCTGTACCATATTTTTAAGAACAATGTTTGACTACAAAATGGTCAGGTCTATTACTAGACTTTTAATTCTCCAAGGGAAAAGTTACATGGAATGAGCTGGCTTGCCTTCCTGAACTAAGAAACTTGACAGAAAAACTCATCCTAATAGAAATGATTAATGGAAAAACACATATGATCAGCTTGAATATTCAGAGATTAAAATACTCACAAGAGAACAACCTAAGTCTATGTATGGGGGAAACATAAGGCTAGTTTCTACTCATTAACTCAGAGTTGTTAATTTTACCAGAGAAAGCCATGTTTTGCAACAATAACATGTAATATTGGATAATTATGGCATGTAAAATCAAAATTTATTTCATTTAAATATTTATATTGCCTCCTGCATGCTCCTGACTGGGGATCGAGCATGTGCCCTGACCTGGAATCAAACCATGATCTCCTGGTTCATAGGTCAATGCTCAACCACCGAACCATGCCGGATGGACCATTTAAATATTTAATACTTATAATAGATATGCATTAATCAGCATTTTTCAGTATATCTTCATGTCATCATCATAATCACTATCATTAGCTTCCAAGTATTAAGTAGTTGTGACAAGGCAGGCACTAGAAGACATTTGTATAATGGATAATCTTCAGAGTAACTTAAAAGGTTAAAGATCATTAGAGTCATTGTATAGATGAGAACACTCAGGTTTGAAGAAGTTACTTAACTGTCGATAGCCATTACATTAATAAGAATGGGGGCAGGATCATAATTCAGACATCCTGAATTCAAACCCTATGTTCTTCATTACCAAATGGTCCCCAAGACAGTCAAGCTATTCATCTGCCCAGCAATCCTTCTGAACATCTCCTCATCTAATAATCTTCAAATTGTTTATCATAACCCGTTAGCAGATCAAAAAAATAATTTAGTGGCTCTTGATTATCAAATTTTAATGATAGGATAGAAAATATTAGAATAGGCCAGAAAAGAAACTATAAGTGCACTATATATGCTAAAGATAAAAATTGTTTAAAAAACAAACATGTTTCTAAAGTATGTATGTGTGCTTGAATTACAATGTAACCTACTTTTTGTTGTTTGTTTTATTGTAGGTCTTTGTAAAAATAATTTTGAAAATGACTATACTAGTCAGCTATAATTTTATTTTAGAGACTATTCCAAACTTTCATTCTTTCCTCAAGTCCCTGGCCTTTCAACCTCTGACCTCTGTCTTCTCGGATTTGCCTCCCTCCCTCCTTCCATACTTCCCTTCTCTCTCTCCCCTCCCTTCCTCTTTCTTTTCCTTATTTTACTCATCCATCTCAAAATCAACTTTTTTGTTGTTGATTCTACATGGAATTATGCTGAGAAACCAAAGCATGAGATACTTTAGGATTGCATTACTATAACATTTTTACATGTAACAATTTTATAAATGGAGTACATATAAGTGGTTGATAAGAGTTGGGAGTTGATTGGGTTGGAAGAAGATGGTTATGATGATAAAAGGCCAACATGAGAGATCCTTATAGTGTTGGAACTGTTCAGTATCTTGATTGTGGTAATAGATAAGTGAGTATATTCAGATAATAAAAATTATATAGGACATACACACAAATAAGTACAAGTAAAGCAGATTGTATCAATATAAATATCTTGGTCATGATATTATAATATAGTTTACAAAATATCATTGGAAGACACTGGACAGAGTTTTGAGGGATAGTTCAGTATTATTTTTTAAGACTGCATGTGAATCTACAATTACACCACTAAAATGTAAAGATATCCTAAGTACTCATTAGGAAAACAGTTAAATAAATTATAATGCAGCCATAGAATAGAATAATATACAAGTTCTTCAATAAAAATAAGCACACTTACTGTACTCCTCAGGAAATATAGCCAAAGAGAAATAACTAATATCACTTTTATGTAACCACACACACTCTTTAGTTTTAGACAGAAACTTGCTGGAAGGCATTGAGAAACTTTTAATTTTAATTTCATACCTTTATGCTGAATGATTTTTAAAATAATAAATACGCACTGCTTTCATAATTTTAAAAACTAGTTTAAAAATACTCAATTTTATCCACAACCTTTCTCACCTAAGGGAAAACAAAACAACACCACGGGCGCAAAATGTGATTCTGTAATCAAACCAACTTAAAGTGCAATTTAAAGGTTAGGTGAAACTTTTTTTTAAAATGTGCTATAAAGCAGAATACACAGGTATACACAACTTTATGTAGAAAGAAAGGCAGGAGACTAGGGTAAAGGTAAGAGTCACTTCCATTATATGTCCCTCTGCTCATCCACTGATCTTTGGATCAGCCCTGTCCAATTACATATTCGAGCACATTTGTAATCTTAAATTTTCTAGTTAGTAGCAATGTTTTAAAAAATAAAGAGAAACAGGTGAAATTAACTTCAATAATATATTTTATTAACTTATTTTATCCAAAATATTATTTCAATATGTAATCAATTAAAAACTGTTATGAAGATCAACATAAAAAGGTTGCATTCTTGTTTGCAAACTAATTAGTCAACATCTGATGTGCATTTTACAGCACATTTCAGCTCGGACTGGCTGCCTTTCAAACCCTCAATCGCTTCCTTTTTAGCTGGTGGTTACCGGGCAGGTGAGGGCAGCCCTAGATTGATTCTGAAGTACAAGGGCTACAGCAAACATTTCAAGTTTATAATGAATCACTTAGAATTGGCTAAAGCCGCTAAAAGTGGTGAATCTGAAGTGACTCCACCTTTCAACCACAGTTCAACTATAATAAAAGGGGAGCGAAATCTACTTTTAAAGAGTAACCAAAATTATATATGAAAAAATAAAATACGAGAAAGAACGAATAGAGAGGGAGGGAGGGCACCGTCATTTAGGGACGGTTAGTCCGAGTAGATCAAGTTTGACTAAAGCTACCAAAATCCCCCAAAATGACGGGAGCCTGGAGCTTCCAAGCCTCGCGCAGCCACCCAGCAGCCCGCGGCCCCTCCCGCTCGCGCCCTAAAGCCGGGTCTTGGCGGGAGGCCGCCTTTGGGGGGCCCCGGCCTGAGTGACCTAGCTCACCCACCAGCAGCTAACTCCCTCCACCTAGTTGGAAGACAGCGCCCGGAGAAGCCAAACAAACTGTAACCACGGCAACAGCCAATCCCAAGGCAGATGGACGGCTTTCCTTACGGGTGCCCCAGTAGGACACACTATCTCCTTCTGCAATTGCAATGAACGCTGGAACTCCGGAGCTGGATGAGGAACTTAGGTAGATGTTAATATTTAAATAATTTTGGAAAGTAGTTAATAAAGAACTTTAAATTGTTTCTGATCTATCTATACTTAGTACTTGCATCTAGTGAATGTTAAATTGCCTTTGTTCATTCCACAAAAACTTGATCCTGAATAGTGATTTATGGGGTTGGAAATATGAAAGGAAGCCAATAAATTGTTTGCCTTCCATGACAACAGTTTCTTAAAAAAAAAAGTAAATTATCACTCAATGTCTATCAAAAATCCTCTAAATGAATGAGTTAGTGGAGTGAGAAATTAGAAAACTTATTTTCAAATTATGTTTTACTGTAAAATATTGACCTGACTCACTGTTTTAATATTAATATTTTAATTTTATGTATAAATCATGTGACTAATTTTTATTTTAAAATCAATCAAAAATTTTTGTGTGCAAAAAATATATAGAATACAAATGTGAAATTTAATTTTAGTTAGTAACAGATATTTCTGATTTTCATTGTTTTTAAGTTTGCAAACAAAGAATTAAATTCCAAGAGGAAATGGCTATGGATAATTGCAAAAGATATCTCACATACAGTAAGCTAAAAGCAAACATTTAATTGAGCCCTTGAAAGGAAATAGACTCTATTGCTTGTTAACAATACTAGTAAACTTGTATTGCATCAACTTAAGAATAAATAATATAAAGTGAGAAATCAGTAGACTTTTGATATTAAAAAACACATTAATGCCTCATTCAAGAAAGATAATGATTTTCAAAACTAAACTATTCCTGGTTTGAGATCTAATTAAATTTAATACTTTCATTATCAAAGTCCATGCTAAAATGCCCCCCCCTTTTTTAGTTTAGTTTTGTGGCTGGTTTATAGACTATTCAAACTCTTCACTTATAATGGTCAGACTAGCATATTATGTTGAAATCTACATGTAAAAATTTTAAGCTTAATTTTTTTTGTAATTATGAAATTATTTAGGCTTT